AGATTATTTAACATTAACATTTTATAGAACATAAACTCAATTCAAGAGCAGAGGAAAAGATAATGTTTTCAACAAATAGTACTAGAACATCTGGTATCCATATGTAAAAAATTAACCTCAACCCTTTATTTCAATACATAAAAATGACTTGAAAGTATCTATGAACCTAAATATGAAAGACTAAAACTGTAAGACTTTAAGAAGAAATTATAAGGGAAAATGTTCATGAATTTAGGGTAGGCAAGAATTTCCTAGGATACAAAAACCATGATATATAAAAGCAAAAAATTGATAAATGAGATTCCATCAAAATTTAGAACTTTAAAAGACATTGTTAAGAAAATGAAAAGTAGTTCTTAACCAGAACATATTTATAATACATATAACCTATGACCAAAATATATAAAGAACTCTTATAGCTCATTAATAGACAACCCAATTAAAAAGTAGACACAAGAAGATGGTAAATAGCTATGGTAAATACCAGCACCACAATGAAAGGTGTGCAACACTAGAATCAGAAAACTACTAATCAGTACAATAACAAGGTCATATTATACACTCATTAGGGTGATTAAATTAAAAGTTTTAAAGGAACAAGTGTCAGCTTAGATGTGAACCAGTTAGAACTTTCTAATACTGCTAATGTGAATGTAAAATGATAAAACCATTTTTGGAAAACAATATAGAAATTTTTTGTATTACTGTTAAGAACCAACAGTTCTGTTCTTAAATTTTTACTTAAGAGAAATGAAAACACATGTTCACAATAGATTTGTACATACAGGTTGACTGTCTCCTATTTGAAATTGTTGTGTTTCAGATTTTGGGTTGAAATTCCCTTTATCTGCAAAGAGGATAGTTACTCCTGCTTTTTTGGGGGTTCCTGTTGCCTGGAGTATTGTTTTCCACCCCTTAACTTTCAGTCTATGAGCTTCATTTTAAATTAAGTGTGATTCTTGTGTGCAGCATATTGTTGGATCTTGCTTATTGACCCATTCTTTCCAGTCTATTTCTTTTGATTGGTGAATTGAGACTTAACATTGATGGTTATAACTGACGCATATTGGCTTATCATTGTCACAACTTTTTCTTTTTGTTGAATTCTCCCCCTTTGTGTTTAATTTCTTGTTGCAGCTGATGGATTCATTCTTCTGGGCTTCCTTGGTTTGTGATCCTCATTGTCTTTTCCTAGGGTATTGTCTAAAATTTTTGGGAGTGCTGGTTTGGTACTCACGAAGTACCTAAGGTGCTCTTTGTCATGAAAGTATCTTATTTCTCCATCGGTTTTGAAAGATAGTTTTGCAGGGTACATCCATCTGGGTTGGAGGCTGTTTTCCTTTAGGGCCTGAAATATGTCACTCCAAGCTCTTCTTGCCTTGAGGGTTTGCCTTGAGAAATCTGCTGTGATTCTGATGGGCTTTCCTTTGCATGTGATTTGTTTGTTTTCTCTAACTGCTTGTAGAATTTTTTCTGTTGGGTTTCTCGAATCTTTAACAATTATATGCCTATGTGTAGATTTTTTTTTTTTAATCAAGGCTAGCTGGAGTCCTATATGTCTCATTTATCTGTATGTCAAGTTCTTTTCCCCTCCTTGGGAAGTTTTCTGCCATCACTTCTGTGAACAGTTATTTTATGTCATCTGCACTCTTTCCTGTTTATTCATTGACTCCAATCAGTCTTATGTTATTCTTCTTTGCATCACCTAGCAGCTGCTGGATTGATTTCTTGTGGTCCCTTACTATTTTAAAGAAAATTTTCTTTTCCTGGTCAATGCTTGCAATCTTATCTTCTATATCTGAAATTCTATGCTCACATTGGCTCATTCTGCTGCATAAACTTTCAATGTAGTTTTTAATCTCCTGGAAATCTGTTTACATTTGTTTTATGGATTCCATTTGTTGCCTATGTTGGGATTCCATCATGTTCCTCAGCTCCTCTATTGTTTTTATCTGTGTGTGCTCTAGATTTATTAATCATGTCTTGCATTATGGGCATAATCTCTGCTGTTATGTGAGAAATTATTTCTGATTTCATTTTTTCCAGATCCTCTTTTGTTGCCAGTTCAGGGAGTCATCCAGGTGGTTGAGTATCAGGTTGTTCCATTTTGTTTTCCTTTTGGGTTGCCTTAGGTGATCTGGAAGTTTGGTTTTGAGACTTGTTTACTTGTCTTCTCATTTCAACAGATGCAGCCTGTTCTGCCTTTGTTAAGGCAACTTTTTGCTCACCCAGTTGTCTTCAAAAGCCAGTATCTCATAAAAACAAATATAATCATTAAACATATTCACATAAATGTAATCATCACCATGATGAAATTAACTACTCAAGAGGTACAGCTGCTCAATACAACAAGTGTTTGCAAAGAGTTCAGTCCTGGTTTCATACTGTACAGAAAAGTCCCACCTGAATTGTGGAGGTGTGGTCTATTGTTAAAATACCATTGTTGGCACGGCTTCATTTAACGTGCTAACTGCTTGGACTTTCTACTGCTTTCAGAGTTGTTCTTTGCCCCCAGGGCTGTTCCCCAGCATCAGTATACACTTTCTCAAGTATGTAGACATCCACTGAGGTGCAGAGACTCCACTGATTAGCTTCTGCAGTCCCCATCATGATAACACCTGGGATATTTACTCTAATCACAAGCTAGGCAGTAGAAATAATAATTAGTGGGCAGCAGAAGTCCGGAAGCAAGCAGATCACTACATTGGTGAAAATTTGCACAAGTATGGGTAGTTATACCATATTAAGTGGTATTGACCTGATCCAAATAAATTTTGTACCAAAGATTTGAGGAAGAAGATATATTAGTGAGAATGACACAAAGCAGTCTATCACAAAATAAGGCCACCTTCAACATTTTATAAACTGTAGAACCATTCTGATCTTCAAGTTTGGATTTGTGGAGAGGTTTCTGTCTAAAGAAAAGCATTACCACCTAATAGAGAGTTTCCTTTAAAATGTGCCTTTGCACTTGATGCCGTTCTCTTCACCAGGAATGCTTATTTCATTCTGTTCTTTACATGGCTTGCTCCTTCTAGGTCAGGTGTTAACTCGAGCATCACTTCCTTAGAGGCCTTTCTGATGATGTCCTATCTGAAGCATCCCATTTGTTATTCTCTATCATAGTACCCTGTTTATCTCCTTCAATGACACATAAGATGATTAAGAGTTAGAGTAACTGCTGTCTCAGCAGAGGCAGGAGATATAGCTGTCCTGTTCACCTTTACCCAAAGGTTAAGAAAGTTCCTGGCACATAACAGGTGAACAATAAATATTTGCTGAATGAATAAAAAATTACTATACCAAATTTACATGAACACATGGATATACACACAAATATAGAAAAATGGGGAGTATCCAATAAAAAACAACCCAATGCTGACAGTATTGAAAATGATACCTGTACATACAAGTGAATATGGTATCAAAAAACAAGTACCAAAGGTATCTATCTTAAAAACTGTGAAAATTTATGAAAAAGGATCAGGAGTGGTTATTTTCCATTTTTACTGAGATGCAAACAAGAAGAAATGTTTACACTGCAATGAGTCAACATTAGACATTATCATTATTTGTTGCAGAATGGATGGCCAACAGTGGTGCTGGAATCTCCGCACTGCAGAGCATAAAATATGGTCAACTACATACCTAGGATAATTAAGAACAGCTTAGACATGTAATTGTAAGCTTACGAAACTTGCTAAACAGCTTTTCCAATTTTAAAATTCTGAATTGGTAACTGTGTAAAATAACATTCAATTTATAAATTGAATATAATGTACTTTAAAAACAGATGGCCCTTATCTGCTGATCATACCTCAGCATCTCTTTTCTAGGTATTTTGCAGAAGCAATTACATTTACAAAAGGTCCATTTCATAATACAATCTGGTAACTAAGTCCAATGAAGCTACTCAAAGAGCAGATCTGCTGCTGAAATATCTTAAAATATCTTTTTAAAAAGGGTACTTGTATTTATAGATTGGCTTTAAAAAAGGATAAATATACTGAATTCTAGCACATCCCTGAAAATAATTATACTGCCACTTGTGCATTTTTATGAAATGGAAGATTAAATAAATGAACTAATAGGTTATACAAGTCAATTAGTATATGCTGAAATCTGGTTGTAAGACAAGGGATTTATTCCAAATGAACTTTTACTGGACCCAAATTTAACTGGTACGAGCAGTATCAGTGCACTTATTACCAGCAATAGTCACGCTGCACTGTTTTGGTATCAGAACAAAAGGGAGATCAAGAAAGAGGTTTGGAAAGATTTTCAATATGGTTTTCTTACAATGAAATTTAGTAGTAAATAAACATAAAAAGAGTGACTGTTAAGCCCCACTGAATACATTAAGGTCAAAGATTTCAAAAATTAATCCACTTTTCTTCCCCCCAAGAGTTTATTTTTGGAAAAAGACAGAAAAAATTAGTTTTTCCACAAGGAAAATCTGCTTCTAAATAATTTGAAAATCTTGATGTATATATATTATATATTTAAAAACACAAAAATAACAGAGAATTGAGAATAACAGATTAGGTACTGTAACTTTATAAAGGCTTGCTTAGATCAAGCAGTGCACATACACACACATGTGCATGCATGCACGTGTGCACACACACACCTCATTTATGCAGACTAAAAATGTATGAACAGCACAATACTGCGATACTGGGTCATGATACATTACCTGTACACATAACTACTACTGTTATTAATAAACCTTTGGGACATTCAGTTTTACGCCCAACAAGACATGATTAAGTCTTCAAATCTCTTCCTCCTTTATGGGAGGGCATTTCTAGACACTAATTTTCCCATCTAATATTCAAATATAGGAAGCAGATTCCACAAAGTGCTTTAACTGATGAGACCTCAAGTGCTGTTTTCTCTCAGGAATTTTTGGATAGCAAACAGTCCGTAGGGACAATCCACAAATACTATGACAGAAGAGTTGTTATGTCTTTTGATGGGACTTTATTGGTGATGAAGCTTTATGACATGCTTGAGCAGCACACTGAAGGGGATCTCATCTGAGTAAATACTTTGTCCAACCACTGTAGAGCTCCACTCAGATGAAGTTCAATCCAGCAAGGAGTACTTGTTACTGTCTGCCTTTGGTATTCTGCTCCCCACCCTTTCACAAAACTCATTCTTATGGTGCACATTCTAGTTAGCTGATACACCACTTCAAAACCCTGATTAACAGACTGAGCCAGAAGAGGAGCAAATTCCTGGTTGTTAAAGATCTTCAGGTTACAGCCTGGTGGAATTTTACACACTGTTGCAGGGTGCCAGCCATATCTCTGATTACAATTGGGGCTCTGCACAAAGATTGTACTATCACTTAGGCACTCAGCAAAAACTTCCCTACCTATGTAATATAAGCGCACACCTCTTCTTATATGTCTTCTAGTCATTTCTACTGTAGCATTTCAGTTAATATTGGAGAGTAAACCTAAGCAGAACCTCTCTGAATTTGATGGATCTGTAAAGCCATCTACAGTGAGTGAGGGCTGTGATGCACGGAAGGTCTCTCCAACCCTCTGATTTAATTCATAATATGCTATTGAACGTCAAAATGCAGGTTCAGAGTAAGTAAGTGGCTGCAAATCCACGCTATTATTAACAGGGGAGAGAGTAGTAGGAGACAGCTCTGCTGGAGAGCCTGTGTCCATACTTTGGTTCAACTGTTTATCACTTGTTTCTCCGTCTTCACTGATATATCCAGGTGGTAGTGTTTCTGGCATATAATTACTCTGTGGCTCAATTCCCACTGGGAAATTAGTGTTTTCTGGAATGGAGTGGGTGTAATCATCCTGAGGTGGTAGCTCTGTTAGAATCTCAGTGTGCCATGGCACTAATACCGGAGGCAAAACTGGTGTCTCAACTCTCTGACAGTGGTAAGGGTTTACACATATTTCATTCTTTTTTAGATTAAAAGCATATTCACAATTTTTAATTGCCTTCAGTTCATGATGACTGTGGAGATCAGGCCAGTGCCATAACTGACAATATATAACATGTGGCAATCCTTTTCCATGTGAAACTTGAAGACGACCATCAAGAGACCTGGTTTGTTCAGAGAAGCTCTAAAGGCCTGTTGTATCCCACTGGTCTATCGTATTTGGTGTACTCCAGTCCCCAAATTTCAGCAAGTGCTTGGTATAGTAACACATTTAGTACTACAATTTTGAGTGGTGGTGGCTTTCTCAAGCTCATCTAATCGTCCTGTTTTCTTTAGCTTCTTCACTAGACTTTTCACTGCTTTCTCACACCACTTTTCTTTCCGTCCCTTCTGCTCTCCTCCGCCTGCTCCTCTGGACCCACCAGCTGATTTCTTCCATCCTAGGAGCCTCTTAACCACTGGTGGAGTGAATGGCAAGATGGACGACAAGCTCTTACTAAAGGCAACAATCTGCACTATAGAAAGAGCCTCTGGAATCTGTCCTGCACCCAGGCAGCAGGTCCCGCCCGGTCAGATCCGGGGGTCCGGGACCTTTTGTTCCTTCCTCTTCTGATGGGATTGGAGGAAGCTTGGGAGGGGAAGTGGGGAATGAGCGATTGGAGACTGAACTGAAAACACTCCCGGGCCGCAGTGTCCCCGCTCCGCTCTGTTCCCCGGGGCCCAAGCCCAGTAGACGGCCCTGGCGCACAGAGCTGAGGGAGAAGGGAGGGAGGAAGGCTCAAACTTTGTTTTTGAAGGAGCTGAAATATCATCTAAGGTGGAGCCTGAGAGAAAAAGGCCACAAAGTTGTAAACTTCACTCTTCACACATTCAATCCTAGGGATAGGTGCTCCTGCTATGTTCCTGTGTCCTCACTGGGTGATGGGTGCTGGTGACTGAGTTGCTGTCTCTCTGGGTTCCTGAGATTGTTCTTCACAGGGAGACCTATTCCCTTCTGTTCAAGGACATCTCATCTTCTTCAGTACTTCATCCCCCTTCACAGCAACCTTGCTCAGCACACTGACCACTGCCCTGCAGGGAAAAGGCAATTTGTAAATTGGTATTAGACCCTGAAGTGTCATCCCGGCCCAACACCACTGTCCCACATCCCACTTATTCCCTTGGTCTTCCGAGCCCTGGCTGCAGACACTTGGTGGCCTCCCCGGTCAGTTGGGCCTGATGAGCTGCCTGCCTAGAGTTGTAGAATTAGGCAGCTTCCAGGCAGGGTTCCTCCCCCGAAACTCAACTCCAGGAGTCTCTCATCTACTTTCTCTGTTAAAATAACCACACTTTGGCAGATCACTTTACTCCTGAAATTTCCCTCACTCCCTCAAACAAATTCTCTAAGGTTACTGCTTTTCATAATCTCCGAGTTCATTGTAACTCTTCCTTGTCTCCTTTCCTTTTTATCACAAAATACTCATAAGAGTCTCCTCCCAGATCCATCACCTCCTTCAAACCTGTTTGGAAAAAGATGACATTTTATTTGTATCATTTATAAGATCCAAATACCAAATTTTGGGCTAATGCAGATTCTATTTCATGGAAGTGTATTAGAAGTAAAGAAATCAGCAATATAAGAAAATGTATAGGGAAAAATTTTAAATTAAGGAAATTTTAAATAAAAATTTAAAAGGAAAAGTAATGTTCATCTTCATTAAAAATAAAGGCAAGATTATATTATTATTTTTTTAAAATGAATTTTATTGGTACATTTTAGGTATACAATATAATGACATTCATCATTGGAAATCAGCACCTTTACATAATCTCTCTTGGTTCTAATTTTTTCCCCCTCCCCTGCCCTCCCTTCAACCCCTCCATCCCTCCCTATTTACAAAGACTTTGTTTCCATTTTTTCATATTAATTCCATTCCCTTCTTTCCTTTCCCCTACCCCTCCCACTTCCCCTTCCCCTTTGCCCCTTTTCTTCCTATTTCACATTATCTATTATACCTTTTAGTCCTTTTTTACACTTAAGATTATATTAAAAAAGCAAATTCCATCCATAAGCATAGCCTTCCTTTTCCAAATGGGGAGGGAGGGGTGATGAAATTTTGACAGCACAGCCACTTGGCTTGTTATTGAGAGAAGGCAGCATTTTAAGGAGCGAATAGAAAGGGAAGGGTGGGAATAACACGGATTGAACACCCACTATTGTCCAGAGCCGGGACTTACAGTTAAGTAGGTGTCATCACACTAGGGAGTGTTAAAAATGTCAAGGAGTCCCTGGGAAGCTCCCTGAATAGCACTTTTACCTGGGAGGAGGGATGTGTAGGAGTTGGAAGCCTATAATAATGTCTATGTATGCACATCACTGTTTTAAGCACTTTACATACATTAATTTGTGGGGCCCTTACATCATTCCTATGCAGTAAGTAGGTGTACTCATATTGTTTCCATTTTGCAGATAAGAAACCTGAAGCACAGAGTGTTAAAGAGTTAGTTGGTCAAGGTTAGTAGAATAATTTGCACAGTCTGTGCTTTTAGCTGTTGCATTACACAGTCTTTCTGAGAATTTCCTCACTCCCCCTCTACATGTGGCTTCACTGCGTACACGCGCGCGTGTGTGTGTGTGTGTGTGTGAGAGAGAGAGAGAATATATGAGTTTGTGAGTGCAGGGGTCAGCTCTAAGCTCCAGCAGTCCTTAGATATTTTTCCCCCTCACTATTTTGTCCTTAGCACCTAGCACATTGTTTGGGAAATGTTTGTTGATTTTTCTAAATACAGGGCTCATGCAGTTCCTTTGTTAGTAGTTATTTTCTGGCCTTTATTAAGGCCCAATTTTCTTTTCTTCATTTGGGTGAAAAATGATTTTGGCATTTAAACAGCATGACTTCATTATTGATTTTTAAAATCTGTCCCTGACATCAAATTCTCATGAGATTTTGTTATATTTAAAAACATCTGATATATTTAGAAATGTCTTTGTAGTCTTCTTCTTTCTCTTGAATCTAGGATGCTTCTCAACAGAGAGCATTCTACATATGCAAAATAATGGTATTTTTATTTTAGTTTATCTTCTTTACTATATAATAGAGGTTAAGAATATGGCTTTTGATAACAAAGAACTTTCTTATTATCTTTTCAATTGACTGAATAGGCAAAGAAAACACTGTAATTGTGTGAAATGGTCTGATTTAGAAACCATTTATAAGGAACATAATTATCTATTAATGAAATATGCATGTAAGACCTTGCTGCTTCTAATGTCACTGTAGACAGATGTATAGCCAGCAATAAACTTGCATAAAATAAAGTTTAAAAACCCACCTATTTCTAGGTTATGCCTGAAAATCTCATGACAGCTAAAAATCTCATAATGAAAAATAATATCTATTTTTCTCCTACAACTGGTCCACTGTCTCACTGTGGGGTGTGTGTGTGTGCGTGTGTGTGTGTGTGTGTGTGTGTTGAAGTGGTGGTAGCAGCTCAGAAAGGGTGTTGATTGGTCTTAAATTAAGGTGTATAGCTCCCCCTTTCTGTCTACAGATGATTCTTGAAAATTCAATCCATAGATTTCTCTGGACTTCAAAGTTAGGACTCTGTAAGTTATTTTTTCTTTGTTTGTTTATGTTTTATCTTAAGAACAAAAATGGAAAAAAGCCCCTCTGATTCCCTTAACAAATACATCATTATGAAACAGCTCATTGTCCACCTCAATTTTCCTAAGCTATGCACAACTTGACAAGAGATTGAACAGACCAGTGCTCTTTCAGTATATTGGTAAGATGTGGGCTGTCTGCTCCGGGAGAACAGAGAAGGTGAGGATTCTGAGCTTTGGCCCTTTCCTTCCTCTAGAGAGGTCTTTGTGACAAGTTCGTACAGTCTGGACAGGTCAAGCTGTAGAGCCGAAGGAGGGCAGCAGTGCCCTTCTGCCATGGCTTTCAGTGCCCCAGAATAGGATGCTGGAATTTACAGGCACCAAAAGGCCCATTGCCCCCCAAATACTGACCTTGCTCAGGTGCATAACATCAGAGCCAATGCTACGTCCTGACGCCAAGCATGCTTGCTTTATTGAAATCATCTTTCATGCTTCCTTCTCTCCACTGTACAGCTTCAATCTCCACACTTACAGTGTTTCATCATTTCCAGGATGTTTATCTTAGTCCATTTTGTACTTCTATAAATACCACAGACGAGGATAGTTTATAAAGAAAAGAAATCTATTCTCACAGTCCTGGAGGCTGGGAAGTCTGGAAAGGGCCTTCATTCTGCATTGTCATATAATGGGGGTAGAAAAAAAAGTTCAGTTCAGTTGGGGCACACAAGATGAGGTCCACTTGCTTTTAGAACAAATCTGCTTTCTCAAAAACTAACCAACTTCCATGATAATGACACTAATCTATTCATGAGGTAGAGCCTTCATGATGTAATCACCTCTCTCCTTGGGCCTCACCTCCCAACCCTGTTGCATTGTGGATTAAGTTTTCAACATGTGAACTTTGAGGAACACATTCAGACTGCAGCTGCATTATTGGATGATTTGAGCATCTTTATAATTGGGTGGATCTTACAGTCTGTGGCTTGTCATAGTTTTATTGGCAGCATTGATTTATAAGCTAATGGTGTTTTGTACAACCTAAGGAGTCTTAGGTTTGATGATATATCATCAGTCATCCAAGTCTATGGACTTTGCAAAACTCTCTCCCTTTTGAGCTTTCTCATCCGCTATTGCTTCTCATAAACTCTGTCCTGAAGGCCATCCTATGAATGATTTGTGCCCACAGAACATTTGCCAAACTCTCTTTACCAGTTGAGTTTTGCACCTGGTTTTCCTTTGCCTTCGATGTTTTCCCACTCCACCTCTGCCTGTGGAGATCTGAACTGTTATTCAGGGTCCAATTCAAAGTTCCCCATGCCTATCTGGGGTCTTCTTTGATTACTCACATCCAAAAATCATCCTTTTCTTCTCTAAAATTTATGTAAGGATTTGTTTGTTCTCTCCCATGGTGCTTAGAAATCTTTAAAAAGTGATAACCAAGTTACTTCTCTTTGTTAATACATTCTTATTTTTATTGCTATTTATAAGCAAAGATCTCAAAGTTCTCAAAGAGTTGCTTTTTCAAGGACAATTTGGTAAGAAATGTTGGGCAAAACTTAATTCTAAAATGAAAAATGATGAGAAATGGAAAAAATGGAAATAAAGTCTTTGTAAGTAGGGAAGGGTGGAGGGGTCGAAGGGCGGCCTAGGAATGGGGAAAAAATAAGAAGCAAGATGCATCATGTAAAGGTACAAGTTCCCAATGAGAAATGTAATTGTGTTGTATACCTAAAATGTACCAATAAAAGAATTTAGGAAAAAAAAGAATAAAAAAAAATCAATTGTAATATCTGCTACACATTTTATGTGGTTTTTCTTTTTTCATTTTTAATCCACTTTTTTAAGGTATGATCAACACACAGAAAGCATACATGTTTCATGTATATACCTTGATGATTTGGAGATTATACTCCTGAAATCATCAGTCACTGTCATAAACATATCTATCACTTCCCAAAGTTTCCGCTCACCTTCTTCGTTTATTATTATTTTTATGTTAAATTTTTCTATTTAATGCTCATTTGGAGGATAAGAAAATATGAGTAACTTAGAATACTTACCCAAAACATACATTAATTTTTCTAAAACTTTCATATTTTTTTCA